GGTGGAGAATAGTGTAGGGACAGCCCTGACTCTTGCGTAGGAGAGGTCATAGACAACAGGGCCCACTGAGGCCAGTGGCAGAGAGGCTGAAGATCAGGTGAGTATATAGTTTTTATTAGACCCTTACAATGCGTGAGTAGCCCCACTGTAATGGTTGATTTGTCATTTCCCTGGAGTTGTTCTATAATATATCCTGGTGGTATTTTATCTCCGTTGTCCATTTATCATCTGTAAATCACAAGGCAATCAAAGTGAGATTCTTTCCTACTATAGTCTTCTGAGTTTCATGCTCTGATATATATTATTTGCTGGATGTCTATTAATGTAGTTATACAATAGGAGGAATACAAAGTTCAAAAGCGGTTTGTCTCTGTTTCTCAATACAGGTTGTTATCAGTGTGGTCCTGACAAGTACCATGATCCAGATAAAAAGACATGTGTGCCTTGTGGTGAGTAGTCTCTTTTTTTTATATTTTAAATATCTGTACTAGAACACCAGGGGTCAATTTATAAACCATTCACAGGGCCTTTCACTCTGCGATTTTCTGTGAACGTTTGATATGTGTGGCTATAGGCCACAGGCAATGTATTTTCAATTTTTTTATGTAAAGCCAGAATCTAGTTGCTACATGGTGCTGAGGAGCATAGGAAATAAGTATTTATTTTCTATGCTCCGCAACACCATCTAGTGGCCAGAATGCACAGAAGTGCCATATATTGTGGCTTACTAGTCCTCAGGTGTGGTGGCTGTATTGGTTTTCCTTTTCAGGCAAGTACATTTTCTGCAAGTAGAAAACAAAATTGCTGTTGATGCTGCCAGAAATGCAGTGTCCCCGTCACTTCCTGTGCACTGAACCAGTATTTAAGACAATGTTATCCGCCTTCCCAGCTAGCTTTTGTGCACTACAGAACACTTCCCCCTTTGTAATGGAGATGGAGAAAAAGGGACGTATGTGCAGTTTGAATCAGGAAAGCATCCTAGGGTGACAACACTGTTTCTCCATAAATACAGTACAGTAAGGGAGTACTGTCACAGTGTTGTTCCTTGAACAGGAAGTGTGTTACTGGCAGGACGAGCAGGCGAAAATAAACAAAAAGAAGCTTGAAAATGAAAACTAAGGCAGCCACCTCACCTAAGGCCTAATAAGCTGCAATATGTTTTTTTTCTTTTCAGTTTGGATACATTTTAAAGGAAAATTATAGTATATTTTTAGTAGGTGCACTTTTTGAATTATTATTATTCCTTTTTCGGGTAAGTAATTTTGACTTGACAACCATGTTATGCACTTCTTCCTTTTGGAAACCCTGTTTAAAGGAAAGCTGCTCTGAATTACTGAGTTACTGCCTTCCTACCGAAATGCACGTTGCTTGACTGCCTTGCTGATCTTTAATTCTCTCCCTGACCTGGAACAAACCTGCAGATATGATTTTACTTGAGATAAGCATTACTGCCAGGCAACTAGCATTTTCAATAGCAGCAGGGGCGTCCTGAGGCTGGGTGACACCCCGCAGTGATGTCATTGTGCATGCGCAGTCAACTAATTGACGCCTGCCGGCGGCCATCTTGGTGATGGACGCCGGCGGGATGAAGTATGCCACCAGGTCCCCTCCTCTCTCCTGACACTGTCGGGTTCTCGGTCCATGGCTTGAATGCCTGACTTTTTAGAGGGGGTGACACCAAAATGACTATCAGTCAATTTGGGTGTCACCACTCCAATGGTGTCACCCGGGTGCGCGCCGGACCCCCCCGCTCCCACCTTGTGACGCCACTGAATAGCAGCCTCCATATATATCTGCATAGGTTTTGATATAAATTGTTACTCATTTGGCATTATAGACGTTTGGCTGTCAATAGTGTCAACATCAAATTCTGTCAGTGAGAGGTGAGCAACAAGAGGAAAAAGTTGTCAAAAAAACTCTACATCACTGGGCTATTTCAGATCCATTATGATTTTAATTTCATTTGTTTTTTTCGGATTTTGGATCTGAAATTCGATTCCGTTCATTATTCGGATTTCAGATCCATCCGAAGTTTAGTTTCGGAATGATCAGAATTTTCGTTTTGGAACAAAGTCACCAGACCTTGCCTTTAATGCAACCCCCAACAGCCAAAAAAATTAAAATCTGATTGGCCTTAGAACAGTCACATGTCCAATTTAGTTTCGTTTTGAACTAAATCTGAATGGATCCAAATTTTGATAAACGGACATTCAGATTCGTTCGCATTCAAATTCAGAAGTTTGGATGCATTCGAATGTCTGAATTGAAAATTTCCCACCACTCTGAGAACATCATCAACATAGTGAAGCATGGTGGTAGCAGCATCATGCTGTGGGGATGCTTTTCATTGGCAGGGACAGACCATGTGACACGTTGATTGCCCACAGGGTGGACCTTTATTAACTAGTTATAGGACTTCTGAAGTTAATTGGGGATTTCATGGCAAAGGGGGTAAATACTTATGCACACTCAAGATAATTTTTTGTCTTAATTATTGTTTATGTCACAAAAAAAATGTCTCTGCACCAGCAAAGTGGTAGGCATGTTGTGAACATCACATGGTACAACCCCACCAAAAAATAATTTTAGTTCCAGATTGTAATACAATAAAACAGGAAAAACACCAAGGGGTTGAATGCTTTCAGAAGGCACTGTACAGGGTGGCTAGCTCTGCTCTTCATGTACTTCTGATGTGCGTCTTGGAGTCAGCTGGCTGGACAAACAGCAGTGTAAGCCAGAAAGAATTTCCATAGGAACTTTGCATCACCCAATTCTGAAATTTGGGCACAAAAAGAAGTATAATCAAAACTGATATTGTATTTATATTTCAGAATGATTATAACTTTTACCTCTTTCATGTTCAGGTGAGCCACCAACCACAACACCAGTGCCCACTACTACACCTATACCTACTACTAC